CAGCAGGGTTCAAATCCTGCTTGCCCAACGCACGCCTCAAAGTGGTGCCAGTGTTAAGATAGAGGATTAGTCATGTATTCTAATAGGCCATGGTACTGCACAGGGTGGTCAGTGGTAGTACAGAGGCCACCCAAGTGAACCTATATTGCTATATCTAAGAAATGTGTAAACCTATAAGAAGAAGAATTGTGTTTCACAGACAGATGTGGAAATTCTGGTATGAGAACGATACTGTGGCTGTGAGGATGATGTAGTAGGAGTTCAGCATGCAAAGTTACTAGTAAAGAAGACAAGAGAGATAATTACAGAAATGGTACAGACAACATAAAAATGTCAGGAGGTGAGACAATAGAAAGGAAAAGCTGAAATCCCACTTTGTTTCCTCCTATCAAGACATGGACCAATCAACCTCAAGTGAAATAAAAATAATAAATAATGCTGACTATAAATTAAGTAACTCTGTGTCACACATTGTTACACTTGCTTTTATAAGTGGCATGTCCGCAATGATGAGATTCACAGCTGGTGACAGAAGTGTGGTGCCTTGACTGTGCAGCTCCACCACCTTCACATGGGTGACACTCGTGTTCTCCAGAGCTATGTGTGTGCAAACCCTCAGTGCAGTGTGCAGGTTCTACATTAGGTGTGAACACGTATTTCTCGAGCACAGGCTTGGTCGGGCACTTGTATTGAGTTATGGCATTAGTTTGGAGTCCTCGTACTTCCACGCCTGCTGACTGGATGATATCCAACTCCTTATACACATGTACTGACAGCACTGTCACAAGAAACAGTAAAAATATTTACTTAAACTCTCTAGTACAAGTGAATTGGTATGTAATAGACACATTTAAGTTATATGTGCACAGAAATTAATGAAGAGAAGGGAGTGTGGATGATACAAACAATTTTAGAGGAACTGCATTGCTTTCAATTACAGGGAAAATGTATTCTAGTATTTTGGGTAAATGAATAAAAATATGGCTGGAGATATATTATCAAAGTTACAGAATGGCTTTAGAAAAGTAGCCAGACCAATAGATAACACTCAACAGTTGTAGATTATTCATATAACCCACCTTTGTAGTTTGAAAATGTACTTTCACCGATTTTAATTTGTCTGAAAGCATATCTGATTGTAATTAAACATTGTAAATATGTGCTAATGGTTTTTTGATATGATTATACATCAATCAACTACATAGTCTGGTACACCATCAACACCTTCTGAACATTTGCCCTTACGCTTTTTGTTACCTTTTTCAACTTTAAACTCAGTTACTTGGAATACAACCATGGTTTTATTACAACTGTGGTAACATGCAACTTGAGAATTTAACAAAATTTTGGTTCAAAAATTTATGGCTATTTCTGTGAAGTAGGAATTGAATATAATGAATTCTTCTTGGGCTACCAGACGTGTCAGGTTGTTGAGGACGAGGATGAAGACGGTTTTAAAAATGCTAGTTTTTTCTCCATTTAACCACCTGACATGGCTGGTAGCCCAAGAAGAATTCATTATATTCAATTCCTACTTCACAGAAATAGCCATAAATTTTTGAACCAAAATTTTGTTAAATTCTCAAGTTGCATGCTTATGTTTCCTGTCCCACATTTCATTTTGATTTTTTGATCATCTTGTCCTATAGCGAATAAGAACTGCAATGCTCTGAGATGATGAGAATGTAAACATTTATTATAATTCTCAAGTATGTGATAATAAAAATAATATAAAATGGTCTGCACTATTAAAGCCTGAGTTAGATAGCACTGGCGTGAAGTATATTTGAATTCGAAAACGCAAGGAATGAGACAAGCGTAATGAAAGTCGTAAAGACAGAAACAATGATACAGAAGTGCAAAATATTTTTAACAGTGTGAATTGGAAGAGTACAATTCACTTTTACGAACTAACGAAAACTGAGTACAGACGGAATTATACTATTATATGCGACTAAACCTTAGGAAAAGCTGTACACGCTTACATTAATGTATATGGAGATCAAAGGGTCTGAAAGGTAAAACATGAAAAAAGGAGAATGCCCTATGTGTGGCATGAAAATGTTCTGAAACCAAGTTGTAGAACGAAGTTTATATTAGGAATGAAAGAGGACGTTTTGGTAATGAGATACACACACACACAGAGAAATGCACATACCTGTCAGTTGATTGTCCACTGCCCATCAGGATGATAAGTGCTCTGATGATGAAGGCAGCAAGAACCTCTATAATGTTGGTAAATTTCTTCCAGACTACGTGGTGCTACAACCCTGAAGACAGCCACGTACAAGGCAATGTTTTTGAAAGGAACAGAAATATTGTGGAGGTGTGCATGCAGTTCTCCACTCCATGCTAAGAACTCACAAGCAATCTCGTCCCATCAGTACACACATGCACGCGTACAGATGAAGTCTCGTTCAAACTGAAACGGACCAACTCGCCAACATCATGGCTCTTGGTGTTCAGTTCACGGACATCAGCTTCGTCTATTGTGATCTTCTGGATATAGGTTGGAACGAGGAGACGTCGCGATTCTTCCTCAAGTATTTTCATCTGCAGTTGTCCAGGAATGCTACCCAGTCGTCTTTCCACGAAATCTTTCCCGTTTGACCTAAGGGAGAACAAGAAATCATCTACATTAGACAGTACCGTATATTAGGGAGACTTCTACTCATCTCATACCACGAGGCCCACTGGAGTTTGGATAAGGGCATATTCTAATTTGCAGTCTATAAGAGTTTCATGATGTAAAGCCATTAAATTCTCTGTAAATGTGGCAAAGTTCAAACCAGTATGGAGAATTGAGAGCTGATTAAATGTTTGCTCTAGTTCAATTTAGAACTTCAAATGGTCAAAGACTCATTTTTCCTGTCATTAACTCATCACCTTCAACTGACTTAGAAATTTTACAATTCTTCCTTGTTGTTAAAGAAACTCCTTTAGCATGTCTGTGATTGGCAGCTTATAAGTCATTACTCGCAGTTAACATTACTGATTGGCCCTCGATAACGTCATACTACATTTAACGGAATTATATGTCATTTACGAGAGTCAAAAAACAAGCTACGTGTGGCAGTCATCACACGATGACAGCCGGAAGATGTTCGTTGTCCCAACACCACTCACTCCTAGCCAGTAAGCATTGTTACTCAACATTCCAAGTAATATTCCAAATTCATAAGCTTTACTTCTATACTAAATCAAAAAGTGAAATAAGACAGAAATTCAGTGTTTAATTACGTCTCAGAAATGTGGCGTCGTCTCACTGGTCAGTTTCAGTCAATACCCGGTAAAACGAGAGTTCTAACTACGTTCATGTGTCTCAGTCTTCATTATTTTAAATACTGCAAATAAATTGGAACATAGGAAAACCTCCATACAGTACTTATGGGCCATGCGCTAACCAAATTGGTTAATAATTATTAACCAATCTGAAGGTGAATTATAATTAGCGTTAGCCAAAGCGAAGTCAAATTTCGGATGCATATTACCCACAATAATTAACTAATGTGCCACTGTTCAATTTAAAAATGGGGTCATTATAATACCTGATGATTAAATGATCTTTAAAATATAATCTGTCCATTATTTATTAAAAAAAGTAAATTAAGAGTGCAAAACTTTCTCCCTCACTCTAAGGGAAAAATTAAGATTGAGGATATCTTCGAACAAAGAATTAAGAATATATTTGGATCTAAGAAAAATACATGATGAGCTTCATAATTTGTACACTTTATTAAATATTATTAGACTGATTAAATAAAGGATGATGAGGTAGAATAGACACGTACATACATGGTTATTAAACCTGAAGAGAATTCTGTGTGGGTTATCTTAGTAACGGAGGGAGGTTTATATTAAAATGGACCTTTTTAAAATAGGGCTCAACTAATTCAGGACAGAACACGACAACAAATATTCATATTCCACAAAAGCGAGGAATTTCTTTACCAGTTTAGCAGCTATCAACTTTCAAGACCTAGAATCATGACTTGGCCATCATTACATCCTATTTGCACATTCATCTGATTTTATAAGAAAGAATTTACACATTTTTGGGTTGAACTTTGATAAATGTATACAAGATGAAGTCATGCTGAAACTAGCCTGTAGTTAAGAGGTGATATCAAAATACAAGCAAAGAAGGAAGAGAACACGTGACTTACGATAAGTGATGTGCATAAACAGATGCCTTTGTAATCCAGGGAGAGAAGAGAAAGAAGAAAAAGTATTGGTTTCATCTGACATATGAATGAGTGGCAAAATATTTGAACATGCCAAAGATGAAACTTTAGTCAGCAAATTAAACATAAAATCAACTGAAAATAGGTGAGATTTGAGCTTTGCATAGTGATGAGAATTAAGAGGGACATCTTTTGGGATATATCACGATGTAATCCGGTAGACACTAAACATACATTTCAGAGGATCCGACTGATTACGTCGAAAGGGTAAGAACCACCTTCAAAGTTGAAAATTTGTTTATAGATCATCAAAAAATGAAACAAAGAAAATTTGCTCCATCCATCTTTATAGCTCTAAATGACAGAAATGTTTCAAGTCTCATAATGTCATGATAAAACTCTCTGAGTTCTAAGTACAACCCAGAAATTAAACGTCACAGCCACTGATGGAAATCTACCGAAATACTGGAGAAGTGAAAGTTGTGCATGTCAAGATATTTTTTTTCTGCTTCCAAAGAAATGTTCGTTGAGAATTTGTTCCTTAGTAACACACTGCGAACCAAACATTTTATCTGAATGTTTATTGACACATGAGATATGCAGTTCATAGGACGAGGCCACGTACTTGTCTAATTAACTGGACTACACATGTACACCAAAGACAATGAGGTTTATACCAATTTTGAAACCATTGAGCTATATCAACCCTGACTTAAAATCTGACTTCTTTCTACATGCAAAACACAAGAACTGTAAGAAAGGATATTGTTTTATGTGGGCTGAAAACATTAAATGGAATACATGAAATATAAAGAAAAAACTCATATGATTTCAGAAGCTGCATAACTAGCAAATGTGGAATGTAGATTCAGATGAAAACAACATTGAACGATGTAATAAATATCTGAGACCCATATCATAACTAGCAAATGTGGTATGTAGATTCAGAAGAAAACAACATTGAAGGATGTAATAAATATCTGAAACCCATAATATTTTTTTTGTAAAATTAAAATAATTCAATTGTACATTATATATCCATTACATAGGGTCACAACAGTTAGCTCATTTGCAAACAATGTTTACTAATAAACACCATCACATATTTCAGCCTATAAGGTACATTAAAACTACTCCTTTAGATTGTAGCGCTACCTACCATGGTTGTCAGCCCCGAAAGAGTCCTTGGTAGTCACAGCCACGTAGTCGTAACTCTTTATATATGTCCTGTGATGAAAGTTCAAGCAACTCATCATTAATGTGTGGGATCGAGGGCTCCAGCAACACCATTTCATAGGACATGTTTGCAGGTACTCGCACCAAACCACTTGCCGTTACCTCAAACCTCCCACTTGCTTGCTAAACCATGACCGTAAACTGAATGCTTCCTATAACAAAACAACTGAATATTAATGTTATGGGCTGTAGGTTAACCCTTTAAAGATAAAGAGAGTACCGAAGTGTACTAATTTTAAATGTCCACAAGCAGTTACCTTGATGAAATTAAGTGTCTAGTGTTTTGTTTCTTTGTTTTCCTTATTAAATATAGTCAGCACTGCAAACAAAAGCATTATTAAGATTTTAAAACACATTATTTATTAGCATAAATCCAACATTTCCAGCAGTGGCGTGCAGTGTTATTTTCAGTAAGGGAAGCAGAGCTTTCTTCTGATTGGCAAGTTGACAGTCAATTCGAGACTTGTCAAACATCACAATTTGCACTGTTGAAACAATGGGGCTTTGAGAGTTCTCATGTCGTTTCAATGCTTTATGAATGTCGTTGGTATCACTGAATCCAGTCTTGTTCCATTTGTTTTCCATTCAGAAACAATAGGCACGACCAACAAAACAATTTTCCTATGTTACGGCAACCGGATAGCTACTCTGTTTTCAAATACTGTTCCAAATAAAATTTCTTCACACACGATTTGGTCTGTCAAAGTTCTGGCAACTTGCATGCCTGTCGTCCTCTTTCGATGATTATTTTCTTTTCAGAAAAGCCCCCACTATTAAACCCCCATTTTAAAAGGTGTTCGACTGCAGTCACATGAAGGTTCTCTACCAACATAACACTTTAGCTATGCATGTAGTCTAATCACTCCTCTGCCACTTGTACCACGAGATTGGAAATACTTCCCTTGCACGCAGATCGTTTACTTTCTGGAGTTTAACGCGCTTCAAAATACGATTGCAGGAGAGGGACATATCGTTGAAAGGATAGGAAACATAAGCACGTACCACTTAAGACACACATATAGACTACGAATGATAAACTGTGTCATTATTCTGTAGTCCTGTGGAACTAAACATCCTCAAATACAACAGGTACATTGGTGTGAATTTTCCCAGACATCAGACTAACTGATTCCCACACTAGTTCCTGTGCAAGATATAACGAGAATGATAAACAAGTTTTAACCTATCTTTGGAAGAACTGTATACATGAGCGTACGATGAACAGGTCTCATATCATGTATAATCTATGAACAAATCAATAATTTTTCAACAGAAATCAGCATCGGAGGTGAACACACAAGTTTTCTAGGTAATAACTTTTGTTTGAAAAGGTACAACATAACCTCTATTATCTACAGAGCCTAAAACTGAATTTAATATGGTTTCTGAAACTGAGCTGTCACGATTATTGCGTGACAAAATACAGATCTTATTAAGATTTATAACATTTACTTGTCGCACTTTTGATAACATATATAATTATATATAACAGAGAATAATTTATGCCTTACTGAAAAATATATTTCTCTCACTGATCAATGCTGCCAACAATATATCGTATCTGTATATCAAACAGATTAACATGAAGACAATGTAAAATTGTAGAAGTATCCGAAGCTTAACTACAATAAATCCTTCTTGGGCTACCGGCTGTGTAAGGTGGCTCAATAAGGAAAAGAACCTTTTTTAAGAATGTGCATTTTTTCAGTGGCTAACCATTAAATTCTAAATTTAAAAATTCAAACTGCTCCAGAACTATTACTTTTAAGACAACAACCCTGATTACAAGAGAACAGAAGCATGACACAATCACATTTCTCATCGTCTAAAAGTAAAAACCAAGTTTAGTTTTCTAAAAAGTCGTACCTAAAGATCAGAAAATATTCGACAATATAAGCTGATACTGGATTAATGTTTGTGAAATTACCATCCTTACGTAACTACAGTGATGAAAGCTATCAAATAAAAACAATCATCGGCAAGCACGCTACAGAGGACCAGTTTGTTACGCAGCTGCCCTGAAGATGAGAGCAGAGATGGCTCTCAAAACGTTGGCAGAGGATATGGTTCATTCACCATTCTGTAGCTCGTAGCCCAAGAATCTTTCATTATATTTCTACGCAAAATCGTAAATGAACACTGATTACTAGAATAAGTAAGTGATAAGAACATTTTACATAATGAAAAACCTGTATAAAAAACCTGCATTTATATTAGATTCAAAAGTAAGTCAGATCAGCCAAACTCCTCTTTCTTACTGTGCAAGTACAAAAATCATTTCAAAACACGTTTATTATTTCTATTCGTTTTCTACGTTGAGTATCCCTTCTGGTCATATTTGTAATTTTGGTTCCGAGCCCTCTATTAAAACAACATGGATCAACTTCTGTTATACAGTGAATTTAAAAGACAAATAAGGAGCAAATTTAATCTAACCATGAGGTTGCAAGAGGGAATTTAAATTATCTTATCTCAAAGGTTAATAAAATTAATTACATTACAACTCACAAGGTAGCCAGTGGCAGGAAAGAGATTTATTCCATTAATGATATATCCAGATAAATATTTCGCTGATCCATCCTCTAAGCTGATAATCACAGATCGTTCGCCAGATTTGGCACTCGGCTGTAACAGAATCACAGTACGGACATGCATAAAGAGCAGCGGAAGAACATATCTCAGTAGAGTGGATTAGATGTGACTGGAAGTACACATATCTGGAACAACGAGCAAATAGAAGACACAGATTCCACAGCCACAACCACAACCCTTTGGATATTGCAGCATCATTTTTGCAGCTGACCATAAGATACAGAAGTTTACGTTTATTGTATGAAATGACTTGTTCTCCATCCTTTGGTTTAGTCGTAATAAGGATCTATGGAATGTAAATAAACTCTACTCTCTAACATACCTGAATACTGCACTTCCTTATCCAAGTCACAAACGCTCCAGGTGCTTCGTTCTGTCTGGTTCTTCACATCTCCAACTCCAAATAAGCTGCTTCCCCATCACGCACACAACTGATCTTCTGAAACACTGATATTCAGACAAATTGGTCTGCCGTGTCTTCGTAGATACCAGTCCACACACACTACAGCTACAGTTCACATGAAAGTTGCTACTCAGCACATCCCCTGATCTCAAACTCCTCTTTCAGACAGACAAGGCACTCACACTGAATCTATAACCGTACACCTCCTCGGAAAGCAAGGAGATCACACGAGGGCCTGAGGTCTTCCTTGTGGCATTGTGAGGCATGCTACGAACACCCCATATTTGGTCACTAGGAATCAAAAGTGTGCAACTGTGTTGCGGTGGCCACATAACCAACATTACAACCTGTAACCCTAGCTGCTTACTTCTAGCTTCTTCACTGTGATAAGCTCTTACACAAATTTAAATCAACAGCTACTGAATTTCCACATGCAAGTCACAAAAACAGAGGCTGCCAACACGTGTCTGTGGATCATCCCAACCGCATCGCCTGATGAATTGTGTCCATCATGCACAATGATCATGTCAGCTCCCGGTGCAAAGTCTTGCTACCTCTGTAGTAATGATGGACTCGTAAATGCGTAACGTCTATAGTATCCCATATGCTTGCATTCACGCCTGCCTGAAACAAAACCATGTACAGAAATAAACATCAGCATTGAGAGACCAGTATTAATTCTTACTACGAAGGCACTCTACACCACATTAATAACCTACTGGCAACTAATCCGGCCTTTCGTGCAACCAAAATATTTCCTACTTTACGTACTTCACACAGGAGAAAGATGACAAACATCAGTTCAAATAAAATTACAAGCCCTGGCAATATAAGAGTAAAGCTGCACTCGACCGGGCATGCATCCTACCATCACGCCGTCCGAAGTAAACAATACCAGCAGAGGAACTGCGCCATCTTCTCGCACGCAGGGACGCCAACGTCTGAAAAACAGCTAAAGAAATGAGGTTCTGACGGCGGGAAGTACGAAGATGACGGTCTTCGGGGGATTTATAGCTGTGTTGGTAAATTTCTAGCAGACTACAAGGCGCTGCAACTCAGAACAAAGCCATCTCCAATTCGCTTCAGAAGTTGTCACTGCCAATTATTTGGAAGTAAATATTTAAATTCTACTATTAAGAAGGCATGTTTATGTTGCATTATAAATAGCTATTTTTAACCCTTTAAAGCCTAATGGTAAGTATAAATACCCTAAGCTTCAACAATTAATTTCCCTGCATGTCTCGGCACCGAAGATAAATGCATTCTACTCTCGCATTTCCCTCGTCCTCAACCATCCACACAGGGTCGCCAGTCTATTTTCATTTGCTATTTTGGGCAAACTGTATCAAACAAACACACAATAAAGACACAAAATTTATCTAATTATCCGTCGGCAGGTTTCATTTCGACATGGGTTCGTATTCTTTGATTAGTTAAGCAATGAAGGCCACCACTAAAAGTATTATAGTTCTAAACACTTAAGCACTGGAGGTGGAGACAGATGAGATATTACTTTCTTCTGGCTATTACGTGAGTATATACAATTTCATATAATAATTCACGGCACTCATTGGAACCACGGTTCCGGAGAATTTGACTTAAATACGTCTATACGGAAAGGAAGTTTATATATTGACTTTATTCTAAATATTTCCTTTATAGATCCTTTACAATTGAGATAAGTTTGATTAAGACATTGATTATTTAACTTGAATTAGTTACGTTTAAGATGCATCTGTGGTAGATGAATGGCGGTTGCTTCTAACCTTTCGTCCCCCCTTCCTCAACGGCGGTCTTGGCTTCGTTTCCATAGAAACGGGAAGATGCTGTCATCACTCTGGTTACATTCTGAGACACACGACAGGTGCAGGGATGCCATAAAAAGATACATAGATTTTTAACTCCAATACTTCATGAATTTCAAGGAATTTTTGATGGAGATAGAAATTTTGTATACAGACGTAAACATGTCCACGAATTTCGTGGCATCAGGGTGAAAATTAACATAGGTTGTATCTGTTGACCTAATGATGGAAATTTTGCTTAGACAGTTATAATTAAATGTAATGATTATTAATATTATACGCCACTATCACCGTAATTATAAAATGAAAGGAAGGGATGGTATGAGGACTATAATCACATCAATGATCCTGATGGAGAAAGATGACACCTGAAATGTCGCCGTAAAAGTTTTAGGTCGTACATTCTACTTGATGTTAGGATAATGAACGACGCCATTTCACTTAAAGCCAAGCTAATAATTCCCTAGAAGAGTTTTCAACTACACGCTTCTAGAAAAGCGAAATCTAGAAAGACCAAAGACAGCTCGTGTAAACAAGAAACAGATCTAATGGACCTAAACACATTAGAAAGAAAGTTGGTGTCACAAATTCTTCCCAGGTCGAGAATTCAGGTTCTCACGGCAGCGAGTACGAAGAAGACTGTCTTCTGAGAAGTTTCGGGGGTCATACTGCCTCCATCTTCAGGGCACACACAACGCAACATCGCAGAAGACAGAAATCTTCATTCTCGCCGCTGAGAAAACTTCAAATTTCGCCCTGAAGATGGAGGCAGTATGACCACCGAAACGTTAGTAGAGATCTACCTGACTACAGAGCTCAACATCCCAAAAGACAGAAATATTCATACTCACCGCTTTGAAAACTTCAAATATCGCCCTGAAGATGGAGGCAGTATGACC